GTGGCAGGTGTGCGTGGAGGCGCTTGCGGCGGGCCACCCGACGTGCTGCGACGAGGAGCTTCTCCAGGAGTGCCGGGCCCGCGCCCAGGGCCTCCGCGGGCGGAGCACCAGGCCGCCCCTTGGTGGAGGGAGGGCGGTGTGCAGGCGCGGGCGGCGGGGGGCGGGGGAGGAGGAGGAGGAGGGCCAGCCACACACAGAGGGGGGGCAGGGGGAGGGGGGGGGAGGCTTCCTGGAAACACCCCTGCTTCTCAGGAGGCGCGGGCCGCAGCCAGAGATGTCGGGCCGGCGCCTCCTGAGGAGCAGCCTCCTTCTGAGAAGCTCCCCGCACGGTCTCGGGACCCTGGAGGGCCATTCGGGCCTCCAGGGTCCCGAGACCGTGCGGGGACGGACCGCGCGGCGAGGTCTCTTCGGATTGCGAGGTCGCCGCGCGGCCTGCCACCGCACGGTCTTGGGACCCCCGACAAGGAAAAGCAGCTCACGGAGTGCCGGCCCCTTCCGCCGCGTTCTCCTCCGTCGGGCCGCCATGTGCGCCCCGAGAGGCGGGGAGGAGGGCGGGTGTAGGGCTGTCTCAGCGCTTGACGGGGCTGGAGGCGGCCAGCAAGGCTCGTTCGGCATTGTCGGTGACGCTAGACCTGAGGCCCCCCCAAGCCCGAAGTTGGAGTGAGGGGTCGACTGCTGAATCGATGTTCCCCAAAACTGGTTTCCTTTCGAATCCACGATATGTAATTACAATACTCCGTAGATCAGATGACGATTGTACATATATTCTCATGGTTCAACGAAAAATGAATGCTGGGATACATCAATTCTGCAGTCGATCTCCGAGTCGATTAGTGAGGCGTCCCAGCAGCCGTTCAAAGCACCCTTCTGGAACCAGACCTTCTCGCCGTTCCCGACAGGGGGGGGAGGGGGGGGGGCAGGCTCGAGGTTTGAAATCCTCGGGCGCTTTCGTCGGGTTGCGTCTGTTTTCAACCTCGAGATGCTCTCTGGCAGCTGCGCCTCGCTGAGAGCGTTCTGGTGGTGCCCGGATCGTCCCGGACGGCCGCCAGAGAGCCGAGTTGTGGCCCGAAGGCCGAGGGGCGACGGGAAGGAGGAGGGAGCAAGGGAGGAGGGAGGGGGAAATGAAGAGCAGGAGGGGGAGCATTAAGAGGAAGAGGAGGACCAGGAGGAGCAGGTAGAGGCGGATCCGCCGTTCGGTTGTTCCCCTTCCTCATGTTTCTCTTGGATGTCTTATTCTTCCCCTGGCGCTGGCCAGGAGAAGGCTGACCTGTTTTGTAATCGATGCGGGAGTTATCTGCTTGGTAACAGGGCACCGCCCGCGCTGCTGGCCCCTTGTGCCACCCTAAGGCCTAAGCAGTTTGCCCTCCGGAATTGCAGGCTGTTCTGGCCCCGTGTGGTACTCATCCGCACAGCTTGGCCCCTTGCTGGGGCAGCGGAGTGGTGGCGGCCTTAGCGCTTCCACCTTTCTTTATCATTGAGTTGTTCGGCCTCTCGCTCATCGAACGGGCTCGGTCGTTTCGGTCGTTGCTGCACATGATGTTGACAATGATGATGATGATGATGATGATGATGATGATGATGATGATGATGATGATGATGATGCTGACGATGATGGTGATGCTGCTGATGATTGTGATGATAATGATGATGATGATGATGATGATGATGATGATGATGATGATGATGATGATGATGATGCTGATGCTGATGCTGACGATGATGATGCTGGTGATGGTGACGATGATGATGATGGTAATGATGATGATACCGAAGATGATGATAATGAACATGATGATGCGACAGCGGGGATTATGATGATGACGCTGGTGGTGATGATGATGATGAAGAGTATTATGATGGTGATGCTGCTGATGATGCTGCGGATGATGATGCTGATGATGATGAAGATGACGATGATGATGATGATGACGATGATGATGATGATGATGATGATGATGATGATGATGATGATGCTGCTGCTGCTGCTGCTGCTGCTGCTGCTGCTGCTGCTGCTGGTGGTGGTGGTGGTGGTGGTGGTGGTGGTGGTGGTGATGATGATGATGATGATGATGATGATGATGATGAGGAGGAGGAGGAGGAGGAGGAGGAGGAGGAGGAGGAGGACAGTGATCAATCAGAAAGAACATACAGAAGCATAACTGTCGGAGCTCCGCGCGGATGTTATGGCTCTGCGCTGCCCCCCCCCCCCCCCGGCGCCCCATAGGCGCCGCCTTTGGCGAGCTCCGCGCACCAAGGAGGCGGGCCTCTGGCACCGATCCAGGAATTCCGCTTTGAGCTCCGAAAGTTGATGCTTACAGTCAAGACGCTGAAATAAGGAACAGTTTGGGTTCGGAAGGGGCTCGGCGTTCCTTAGGTTCCTCCAGTGCTGTTCCTCTTGCCCTCCTGGGGCACGGAGGCGCTTACAGGGCCTCTGGCGCCGATCCAGGAATTCCGCGCGGAGCTCCGAGAGTTGATGCTTATGCTCTTCTGCCGGGGAAGA